CACCTTCTTGTTCCGGTTGATGCTCAGGAAGTAGACGCTCTCTGAGGCAACAAACGGCGGCCCCCAGGCTCTGGTGTCGTCGCCTCCACCTGTTCAACACACCCAACATCAGAAGCCATCAGATTTCCCACAATCCTTCAGCTGCGGCCCAACAGAACAATACTCACCTGGTCTCTCCACCTTGATCACCTCGGCTCCAAGGTCTCCAAGGATCATGGTGGCAAACGGACCGGCCAGAACTCTGCAAACATTCAGACAGAGCTTAGCATCAAACCAGGGCTGAGAGGAGACAGGCGCAGCCTGCTGAGCTCACCGGGTCAGATCCAGCACTCTGACGCCCTCTAGTGGCCGAGGAGGGGTTCCTGCAGCTGCATAGAGACAGCAAAGGTCAGAGGTCAAAGCAGAGCTAAAGCAGCTTTCAGAAGAGTCTGGGTCATTAAGCAGTTTATGGATGTTCTAGTTCACCACAAATATTAGAACGATACAAACTTTAGTTTCAATTTATAACAATAATCTACTGCTGAAGGTTCCTCAGTCCTTCATTAGGAGGCTCATCACACACACAGCATGATATCAGAAACAATTGAAGTTTTTTTGTTTAAAACCTGTTTTGATTTAACTAAACTAATATTTTCAAATTTAAATAGTTTATTTTTCGTAAATATCATATATATTTTACCTTTAAATGACCGCAATCATGTACAATTTTTTTTTTCTTTCAGTAATTAAAGCTTTGCAACGGTTTCCAAAGAGAGCTTGCCTCTCACAATATGGCGGACGCGCTGACGTATTGCCTATATGAGTTATTAGCGAACCTTGAAGAGATCAGTTCATATTTAATCATCTGTGGTTTAATGTGACACATGGAGAGCCCAGTTATTTAGGAGACTCTTAAACATATTGTAGATCTAAATATGTCAGCATAACTGGAGGTTCTGATCTAGATCTCGATGATCTAACCAGAGCTGCTAGTATTAGCCTGTTAGCCGCAGCTACGGGGCAGTACCTGTGTTTATAGCCGCCCTGCGGCCCCTGCTGGCCGGACAGCCCCCAGCCTGCTTCCCCTGGAGGAGCCCTCTACAGGCCGAACGGTACCGACACCCGGGGAGGCTTTTTAAAAGGCTGACATTAGCAGACATCTCCTAAACCTGTTAGCATCTGCAGATGCTACGTCACGTCCTGTCACCCCACTTTCAAAGTAAAAGCAGAAAAAGAGGTTTTAAAAAGAAGCTTGATTTGTTTTTGCTTTTTAATTTGATTAAACTGCTTTATTAGTTCATCCTTCCCCATGAGCAGAACCTAAACATGATGGATCACAGCCTGGCAGCGAATTCCTTCCAGAAACACTTTAAAATTACATTCAGAAAGCTCTTCTTCTTCTTCTTTTATGGCGGTTGCCAAGCAATATATTAATACCGCCATCTACTGGAGAGGAGTGTGGATCCGGATGCTTCATATAAATTCTCCCACATAACAAATAACTAAATAGAAAAACTTATATCCCTTCTATCGAATTCGTTTTCTTAAGGTAATTGATTGATTAAATAACAAAAACATTTTTCCAAAAAATCTTGTATTTCTGGGGACCCAAAGTGAAATGCAGAGGATGATCTATGCGATCTATGATCTATTTCTATAGACCAGTTTTTCCTTTGCTTTCACATCAACCCAGTTTTTAATATGAATGAAATCACAATACAACTGTTTTTATTCAAATGTTGTTTTTTTTTTGTCTTTTTGTTGTTTCTCTTGTCAGAAAGTGAAATATGCATTTAAAAAAAAAACGTTTTATTTTAAAGCAGGATTTAAAACATAGACACTGCTAATGCAAGTTTCCAGATGTATAATAATCTGTTACATATACAAATATAGTACATTTAAAAAGGAAAAAAATAATAAAAACATTTTCTAAACCTGTTTAATGGTTAAGTTGGATGCTGGAGAAGATTCTCAGTCATTCCAAAAAAGGCCATTAAAATCAATTAACTGGACTTTGTTTCCAAGTTCCATCCAGGAAGCTTTTCAATTAAAATGTCAGAAATGGCGGTGAGTTCCAGGTTTCCTGGATATGAAGCTAAACGTCTTCAAACTTGGAAGCAGAATCCAGTGGATTGTTTTAAATTTTCTTTTTTTTGGAATACTTCAATTGGATCTCTGACCATTTGAAGGGTTCTTAATTTGTGTTGTGCTGCCATCTGGTGGACAGAGGTGGTGCTTTAAATTTTTGTCCATTATTTTTGACCAGAAAAACCTCCAGTTTACCTCTATTCTGTACATTCCTCTCTGCTAAATGGAAAAATGTTAGGCTTTAAATTTCTAATCCAGGTTTAGCTCCAAGTTCCGCACAGAGAATTTAATCTCTGGCAGGACAAGTCGTTTATGAAAGGAGGTTTGGACCTGAAATTAAACTTAAAATTCAGCTTTGATTTTTATTTAGAAACTGTAGAAAAGTTTGGGCCTGTTGGTGAGACATTAAGGTAAAGGAAGAACCGCCGGTTTATCTGGAATAAACATCAAATTTAGGGAAATAAATCAGGAACTTTCTAATGAAATAAAACAGCCGAGTCTATTTAAAACAATCCGACAGCTTTTATTATTTTCAGATAATAAAAAAAGATCCTTGTTTAACCAGCTGCCGTTTGTGGAAGCAGACGACTATAAACTACATTCACTGGTCTGGAGAAGGATCCCGGCGCCGAGACCAAAACAGCTTTACCTCAGGATGGGAAACAGCTGCTGAGGGGCTTTTATTTTGGTAAAGGCTGCTGTTTCCTGTCGGGCCTTTTCCCTCCATCTTCCTTCCTCAGGATCAAAAATAAAACAATAAAAAAACATTTTATTGAGATAGAAACCAGGATGGTAGAACATCCAGTCCAGAGGTTGCTCAGGTATCAGCAGGAATGAAACCTTCAAGACAGGAGAAGGAATCAGTAGAAGGAGTAGAAAGACGGCGAGGAGGCGCGGCGGCTGCCGGCGTGGAGGCGCAGCAGCTGCCGGCGTGGAGGCGCGGCGGCCGCCGGCGAGGAGGAGCAGCAGGATTCTGCTGTATTGAGGTGATCTTGTTGTTTCCGTCCGGTTCTCCTCCCTCTGGTTCTGCAGGAGTCCAACGCAGCCAGAGGACATCATCATCATCTTCATCATCATCATGGCAGACATTCAGTGTTAGCTGTACGGCATCACAGAAGGGACACAAACAGAGCCGCCGCTCAGGCTGGTGCTGGAGCGACCAGCGTCTCCATGGAGACGCATCCTCAGCTTCGGTCCCCGTTAGAAGCAGCAGAACAGGGAGGCCACCGCTGACCTTTGACCTCTGTGGAGACCAGAGCAGCCGTCAGAACCCGGCTGAGGGACCCGGGTGGAAACCCTTCGTCTGGCTGGTTTCCAGGCCAGCATAGAATCATGATGTCGGAGGTCAAAGGTCGCAGCGCCCCCCCACTGACCTCTGGGTAAAAATGAAGGCAGAGGAATGAACCAATCAGCAGGCTCGGCGCTGATCATGTGACCCACACACACTCGATGCATCGGTATCAGAACCTTCTCTAAGCCCCGCCCACTAAAGCCGTAGCCGACTAAAGTCCCGCCCCCTCCCAAGGTTACCTGAGGAGTTTTGTTCTCTGATTGGCTGAGCTCAGTCAGCTGTTTAGTTTTTTTTATTTTTCCTGACAAATTTTTCCTGAAACGGAGCAGCCGTCTGGTTTCCCTTCTGACATCACTTCCTGTTTCTGTCTTTGAAGGTTAGACCCGTTGGATCCGAAGGTTTGTCTGAGGTCATGTCAACCGATAAAACACTAATGACTCTAAAAAAATAAAAAAGGTCCTCGCCTCCAGCTGGAGCGGTCTCCATGGCAACATGGCGGCTCTGCAGCATTTCGGTGGGAAACATTCGCGGGTCGGCAGACGCCGTGTGGAATCCAGCAGAAAACCTGAGGTACTCGGAGGTCCAGGAGGGGGATCAGAACCAGAACCGGTCTGGGTCTCCTCCTCAGAGGCTGGACTCTTTAGGCGGCGGCTCCAGGTTGGTCACCATGGTGACAGCTGCGTTGGCGTCGGAGGTAGGCGCGGTGGTGGCGGCGGCGTGGCGGCGGATCTGGGAGATCCTCTCCTCCACGCAGCCGGCTGACAGGCGAGCTTCGGCGTCGTGGTCCCAGCATTCCTCCACGGTCTCACAGATCTGAGCCAGACCCTGCAGACAGGAGGTCCAAACATCAGAACCATCAGAACTCAGTGGGTGGGGGAGGTTCTGATCCAGCAGGTCTGGATACCGGGTTCATTTCTGGGAGGCAGCAGGTGACCCGGTCCGACCCACTAATCAGAACCAGAACCACCTGTCCCTGAACTTATTGGGCCCATTTTCTCACATTTATTTTTCTAGAAACCAACCAAACGGACCCGTCCCATAAAACCATCTGGGACCAGAACCGCTGGTCTAAAACCAGCTGGTTCTGCTGCTTTCTCTGAAGGTTCTAAACAGGAAGATCGGACCGGACCGGAACCACTCACGCTGTGTTTGAGCCACAGTTCTTTGATGGTGGGTCTCATCTTCTTGTGGACCACCACCTCCTGCAGGTCCTCCAGGGTCGGATGCTGACCCACCTCCTCCTCAAACGGCAGCAAGTACTGATCCAATGGACCTGAAAGCAGAACAGGACGGGTCCATCAGAACCCACAAACTACCGACCCAAAGAACCGGTCCTCTGGTCACTGAGCCGCCCTGAACCGGGCCGGACTCTAGCGTCACCCTTCAGAACCAGAACCATGAGAAACCAACAAACAGACAGAACCAGAGTTTGGACCCAATCTGGTTTCAGTATTTAAAATAAACAGAATTATTTTAAAATGAGCTTTTATGATATTAGTCTAATAATCTGGGTTTAATCTGGATTAACTGGGTTAAATAAAGTGGAGTAAAATAATAAATAAAATAATAACCATCACATTAAATTTAAAGGTAAAATTCTGATGAAAATGTTCTGAAACTAATTAAAATAATAGTTTAACCTGAACTCAAATGATGAATGAAATCGGATCAGAACCAACTGGACTGAAATGTACGGAAGAGGATTAGGGCCACTGGAAAAAAAAAAAAGTTATCTGATTTTTAAAATTTTATTTCAGTTTAACATGGGATTAAAGTCAGAATTCGGACTTTAATCCCATGTTAAACTGAAATAAAATTAAAAAATCAGTTAACTTTTTTTTTTTTTCAGTGGCCCTAATCCTCTTCCGTAGAAATGGAACCAAAACTGTATAAAAATAATAAACCGTATCAATCATAATCAAACATGGAGGATTTCAGTGGATCAAGAAGAACTGGAATCAAATAAATCCGATCTAAACTCTGGCGCCCCCTGATGGCGAACACGGTGAACTGCAGCCCTCCTGCTCACCGTCGGCTGCCCTGCAGCGGCTCACCACCTCCCACAGCACCAGCCCCACGGCGTACATGTCGATCCGCAGGAAGGCGTCTCTCTGGAAGTTGATGGCGCCCTCTAGGACCTCTGGGGCCATGTAGCGCCTGGTGCCCACCTGCTCAGGGAGGACAGGTGTGTCACCGTCAGGATCGGCGCTGAACGCCAAACCCCCGCCCGCCGCTCCGGCCGCCTGCTCACCTGTCCGTGCGTTTCTCCAGGCGGTTCCCCCGCCTCAAAGCAAACAGCCAGGCCGAAGTCAGCGATGACGGCGGTGAGGTCGGAGCGCAGGATGATGTTCTTGCTCTTAAAGTCCCTGAGAAGCAGAGAAACAGGTCAGATTGGACGTCTCCAGGTGGAGACGGGATCATGGCGGATCCAGAACCTGTGAGCGATGGCCGGTTTATGTCGGTCTCCCTTCAGGTGGGGGATGTCCTCATGGAGGTACGCCAGGCCGCGGGCCATGGACTCAGCGATGTGGCACAGCTCGGACCAGCTGACCACGTTCCCCTTCAGGAAGTCGGACAGAGAGCCCTGCAGACACAAAGGTTCTGTTCTCAGTGGACGGAAGACGTAACCTGAGTCCGCCAGATGGATTTGCTCCGCATATCCATCTGGAAACCTTCCGTTGAAGTAATTTTGGGAAGGGGCGAAAATACTGGTTAGCTGATTGGCCTATGTTGGTGATAGACGGGCCAAATAAACCAATCAGATCAACGAAGCAAATGACGTACTAACAGAGCGACGACGAAGAGGAGCCAATTGATAGATCAAACTCTTGGTGAAACCAGTTGGGAGAAGAGCAAAAACATCTTTTCCTCTGAGAAAAGCCTCCAGAGCAGTGTTTTGCTCTTCTTTCAGTGAAGAAATACTCTGTAATTCCCATAAAACTTGCTCGATAGCCACGCTAACGCTAGTTTCATCGGCTGAAGCCGCCATGTTCTTTAGACTGAACTGTCGCGCTTCTCGTTGCGTCACACCTCAACCCGCCTCAAAGCCAACGCTGATTGGACGTTCGTTTGGTGAACGGCTCCAAATTTTCTTTAACGGAGAGTCTCCAGACTGATTAGAGTGAAACCTTGAAAGCTCGCGAGATCAGGATGGTCTCACCAGGCTACAGATAGACCAGCTGGGTCTCCAAAACCGAACTCATTGGATCTCTGAGAGTCACTGGAAGCAAATAGAAGCTGCTAAAAGGTCGGAACCCCCCAGGCTTCAGAACCACCACCCCACCCTGGACATCTCCATGTGTCCCTTCCTGTTGGCTCCCAGACCTCCTGGATCTCCTTCCTCACCCTCTCGTGGAACTCGCTGATGAGCCACAGCTCGCTCTCCGGGTGACTCCCTCGTCTCTCTGCTCCGATGAATCTCAGGATGTTCTCGTGCCTCATTCCCGGCGTCAGGAACACGTCTCTCTCGTTCTGCCACGACTCCTTGTTCTGCCCAGAGGAAAAAAAATGAACGACGGAGGAGTTAGAAGACCTGAAGATGCACCAGAGGCGGCGACAGGAACGTAGCGTTCTGCACCTGGATTGGGAAGATCTTCACGGCCACGTATTCGTTCAGGATCTGGCCCTTCCACACGCAGCCGAAGCGCCCCATAGCCTTCACCTCAAGCAACTGCAGGGGCTTCAGACTCAGCAGGGGGGAGCCAGGGGGGGCCCCGGGATCCTGGAGGACACGAGGCGAAGGCATCAGACTCAGAAGGATCTCTACGGGTCACTATTCAGTCTCCTACTGACGGATCAAACTGGACCGTCTATTAGAACCCACTGCAGTACCCTCAGACACCAGCAGGTGGAGCTCTTATAGAACAGAAGGATGAGAGGGAGCTGCACCTCGCTGATGTCCACATGTCCATACGGGGGTTTGCGGTGGCGGTACATCCAGACGGCGATGAGCAGAACCACCGACAGCATGGCGGCAGGCGACAGACAGTAAATCAGCACGTTTAACACGTCCACGCTGCTGGGCGGAGCCTTGATCACTTCAAAAGAAAAAGGGGTTATTTTCTACACCTCAAAGCTTTTCTAAAACCATCCTGGACTCAAACATCTGATCTACTTCCTGTCAGTCAGTCTGGGTTTCATTATGACTGAAGTTTCTATTAAAGGACGTCGATGTCATCAGCAGTAATACTGAAGGTTTGTTTCCACCAGAACCGCCTCCAGTTCTGCGTGTCCCAGATAAAGAACTGAACAGAAACCGGAGTCATCAGTCAGGAAGCGGACCCACCTGGGCTGCGGGGGTCTGGCAGGTGGATGAACTTCTCATTGCAGAAGTTTCCTTCACAGCAACAGAAGAAGACCTCAGGATTGTCCTCCGTCGCCACGCAGTCCGACCTGGATCACAACAATCAGGGTCATCATCAGACGGCCATCATGAAACGTCAATAAACAAGAGGCTTGGTTCCAGTTTGGGTCACAGAGGTTCTGAACCGGATGGTAAATGTCATCTGAAAGCAGAGAACTGGGTCGGAACCAGCAGGACGGACTAATGTTCTAACTGGTTCCAAAGGTTCTGCCGGTCATGTTGACTTTCAGGTCCAACACCTTGGTTCTGGTCCAACCAAACTTCCTCCGTTTAGATCTGGTTTAGACCCGTTTTGATTGGTGCTCGGTCCAGAACTCAGTTTGGATCCAGATCAACAGAACCTGACATAAATAATGCAGTACTGAGGCTCAGATCCAGAACCTCTGTGGTCCTGGTTAAGGTCCGCCGTCCGACCAGAACCTCTGGATGTAACCAATGTCTTTGGTCTCTAGAACCAACATCAGAGGAGCAGCTCTAGATGACCCGGTTCTATAGAGTAAAGCCAACATTAAAGCTGTTCTGTTAGCCAGAACCACGAGTTCTACTGAGAAATAAGCCATTTTATTTAATCCCAAAGATCAGAACCGGGTCGTGGGCCCTGCTAGAACCGCCGGTCTCTATGACAACCCTATGTTGTAGGTGTGTGTGTGTGTGTGTGTGAGTGTGTGTGTGTGTGTACCGGTCGTAGCAGTTGAAGTCGTCCAGCCAGCATCCTTTCTTCACCAGCTGGATGGCGCCCGAGGCGTTCCTCCAGGAGGCGTAGCAGTGGGAGCGTTTGTCGGCTTCGCCCTCACACACCTCCACTCCGCTCTGATTGGTCTTCTCCATCTCATAGTTCACGTTGTAGTACTGACACCGCTGGGTGTCGGCCCCCCCACGGCCCGAACCTGCAACACAAAGTCAGGGTCAGCACGGCCTGCGGGGGGCGCTGTGCAGCAGCTGATTGGGTTTATAAGACGATTATCGGCCTGTATCCCAGTAGCGGCCTGGTCTCTAACAATGGCCGGTCTCTTCTACAGGCCGGGGTTATAATCAGAACCAACGATGTTCCTGGGCCGTCCTCAACAACTTGTTATAGTAATATACAAGTACCACAGGGGGGCAGTGTTTGCTAACCAATCCAAGCCGTTAGCATGGAAGTCCCATCCTTAGCGCAGACAGAGCCGCAGACAGAGCCGCAGACAGAGCCGCAGACAGGAGGCCGGTTTGTTTGGTTTTTATGACCGAAATTGCGGAAAACGACTTGTGAAGTTTGACCAGCTAGAAGATTGAGGTGCGAGAGCATAATGTTCTCTATATCGCTATGGTAACTGTCTTTTTTCAATAAATGAAACTAGTATTTTATCGGTTCAAAGAGACACAGAATCTGGTTTTTATTCATTCCACTGGTCGTCTTGCAGTAAATAGAGGCCTGCCTCTAATTCTGGCCTCCTTCCAATAATGGCCTGAACCAAGATGCACCTGAATGAAATAAAGGCCCCGGCCTATATTAGAGGATTTACGGTAGACCGGTTGGTTTGATTCAAGCTAAGGCTGAAACAATTAAATGCTTAATATTCTGCACTTACATAAAAACTTCTCAATTCAGAGGAGATGAACTAAGAACTTTAGATGATATTCAATCATTTACACACATTTATAATCAGAATAATCAATAATCATCACCTAATTTAGTAACTGATTAATCGTTAACGAGGGTATAAGGCTGTGAAACATGTCTTTAGCTGACAGAGCGATTAAATATATATAAACATTTCGCATTTAAGATTTAAAAAATGTTTCCTTCTGTCAATCTGCTCTATAATCCAGAACTCCTGAACTAGAAAAGTTTTAGTTCTTTATTCAGAAAAAATCTACTTTAAGGAATCTGATTATTATTATATATTATTAATCGATTAATCAAAAAAATAATCAACAGATTAATCAATTTGAAAATGATAATTTTATCTCATTTTCATTCTGGCCTGTTTGCGTTAAAAAAAGATAAAAGCATCAAAATAATTAGTTTTATCCTGATAATTAATTCCTCTGTGTTTGGACTCGGTGCTGCCCCAACCTGTTGCTCACAACATAACAAAATAAATAATTTTTCCTGATGATGCAAAGTTTAATGTGACGCTCAGTTATAAAACTAAGAAAATAAATCACGCAGCGACAGAAACATTATTCTCTTAATTTTACTTTTAATATCCAGTTTATATTTTGTATATTTCTGCTTATTATGACAGACAGCTTGTTTAATTGATGACATCACTAGGCCGCCACTTCAGCAGTTAGATCTTCGTTTGATAGAAATGTTTGGACGCCGCGTGCAAAGACTTCCAGCGTCTCCTAACCTCACGCACGCTGCGCGCCATTGGATCAGCTTGCTTCGTTTTAGGAGCAGTAATATTTTATGAATTAATTTCAGTTGAATGATTGATAAACAGGAGGAAGATGGTTTCACTGATGCAGATTTTATTTCATGTTCATGTTGGTCTTGGTTGGATTCTAAGATAGAAATCTGTAATAAAACCTTCTTTCCTCCATCAAACAGTTTAAAGTCGGAGGAAGTTTTCATCCAGAAATGTAGAAAAATCTTCCTTAAATTGTTTTTTCCTGCATTACTTTTACTTTTATATTTGAAGTAGTTTTAAAAATTGTATTTTTACTCTTTAACTGGAGTAAAAAGCTGAAATTGATCCTCTAACTTCTATAAAAGTGTTTTTAAACAGCAGGATTTCTACTGGAATAATAAATCTGAATAGTTTTGACAGTTCTGCTCCGGCAGAACCGGATCGAACCGGATCCAGCTGCCTGTTTCTGGACCAGCAGTGACAGATTCAGCCTCAAAGTTCTGGTTCTGAAGCTGAAAGTCGATCGAATAGAAACGAGGAGGGATGATGCAGTACCACAGGCAGCCACAGGGAGGCAGCAGACCGGCTCCCACTGCTTGGCCTTTAATTCCTCAGAAGCAGGAGTCCATCTGGACCCAGCGGTTCCATTTCCTCCGTGCGGCGGGTGGCGGTGACCCTGAGCCCGTGGGAACCCGAGCGTTAATGAGCGCTGCGGAGATGGACGACCTGCGGGAGAACAGCTGACCTTCGCCGCCTCCGTCATCCATCAGCTCCACCAGAACCCAGAACAAAAACCTCCCACAATCATTCAGGGGTCAAAGCCGCAGCCCATCCAATCCCAGCGGGGCGGGTCCAGGACTCTGACGACCCGTCACCGTAAACCTGGACCCCATCCGTCTGCAGCCTGAGGGGCCCGTTTAGTCTGGGGAGGAACAGAAGCTCTGAAGGAATGAGCTCCTCCAGCTGGAGGAAGATATCAGAGCAGAAGGCACGGGGGGGGAGGGCTGATGATGTGGGCTCACTGAGCCGCAGGAAACGACCAGGATCTCCATGTGATCCAGACTGGATCAGAACCAGAACCAGTGACCCAAATACAGCAGATCTGCACCAGCAGGACTGAAGGCGGCGGCCTAGTCAAAGTCAGGGCCGCCGCCGCCGCCACCGCCGCCGCCGCTCAGACAGCTGCAGAGTGTGAGAACAGCTGCAGAAACATTAGCATGTCTGAGCTGCATGTGTGCCGCAGAGCGTGACCTCTGACCCCAGTGTGTCGTCAGGCTCCCAGCGTCTGTTTCTGATGCAAAACGCCGGTCGTCAGGAGGCTTTGTGAGGGGTCAGAGGTCGCTCACACCCGGCGACGGAGTCAGAGAGGCATCTGCTGCCGATTGTTTCAGTGAATACGTTAGAGAGGAGAGACCCTGGGAACGCCGCTCACAGCGCCCGGCATTAGCATGACGACACGCCGCCGCCGCGCCTCCTTAAACACGCCGCTTGGTCCTCCTGCACCCACTGACGCCTCCTCCTCACTGATTCACTAACTGCATTCATGCAGAACCCAGAAGTTTTTGTTTTGTTGCTTCTTCTCTCCTGAAAAGATGCCAAGATGAGAGACGGAGGTCCTCACAAGGTTAGTAAACACGTCCAGAAGCCGAACAATCGGCTCTGCTTCTGACTGAAGACAGAAAAACAGGAAAATAAACTGATTCTCACATCAGCAGAACCTCCTGAAACATAAATCTACACTAAAAAAAATTAAACAACTATTTACTACATCAGTTAGTTTGATTAGAACCAGATACTTTCAGGATGTTTGGTTCGGATCATCAGAATGGATCAATAAAGGAACTCTGATAGAACCAGACATTAAAGATCCAACCTGAACAGTTTCCTTCCCTCTGATTCTATTCATCGGAAGGAAAGGCTTTTATTTTGGCGGGTTGGTTTGGGCTTAAAGTGGAACCTAGTTAGGTTCTGGAAGTCCCCTGGTTCCCTTCGCCTCTGGTTCAACATCTTTCCACAGAAAGACCCAGTTTAGATCAATCAGAACCAACTCTTCTGTTGCTGCAGCTGTGAGAGCAAAGCCTTCTGGGTAATGTAGTGTTTTTTATTCGGCTCCATCCAGCTGGGCGGCCCATCAGAACCTCCATCAGAACCAGAGAAAGATCTGAGCTGTGCAGCAGATGGACCTTCTGAGGACCAGAGGACGCCTGAGGCGGGCCGAACCCGTTCAGAACCGCGGTTCTGATCCAAACGCTCCTGGTTCAGAGCGGGTCCGCAGACGGTTCTGGTTCTGATTCCAAAGAGAACCAGAAGGGTTCCCTGAGCAGGCCAGGACCCAACATGGCTGCCGTGGCGCTGCTGTTCGCCGCCATGTCTGCGGCGGTTTGATAAAGTTACGACCTCTCAGGTCCGGGTGACCTTTGACCCCTCCAAAGATAACTCTACCTTCGGTGGCCTCCTCAGTTTTCCACGCCGCCCTCCATCTTTTACCTCGTAGCACGGTACCGTTAGCAGGGTTAGCATTAGCGATTTGTCCTCCAGTTTTCTTCATTTCTCTTCCTTATTCGTCTTTTTATGAAGGATGCTTTCAAACATTCTCCATCTTTAGCTTCCAGCTAGGTTAGCGTTTCTGCAGCTAACGGCTAACTGAGCACTCGGTCAGTTTGGAACCTCAGAAATGAGCTCCAGAACAGGTGAGTCAGGGTTACAGGTGAAGGTTTGTTTCTAAGGCTCAGTTTTAGTTTCAATGACCTGATCAGACGCTGCTGACCAATCAGCAGCAGGTGGGGGCGGGGGAAGGGACGTCCTGAGGGACCCTGTCACTGACCCTCCCCCTCCTTTTATTGCCCCTCTGTCTCCCCCCTCCCCCACCTGCTGCTGGGATCCAGAACCAGCAGAGTTCATTTCCTGGCTTTGTGTTTCTGAGAGAGGAGAATAAAGTGGAATTCTATTCTATTCTATTCTATTCTATTCTATTCTATTCTATTCTATTCTATTCTATTCTATGATGTGGTCCCTGAGAGCTGAAGAACACAGAACCGGTTCTGAAGCGGAATAAGCTTTTCCATTAGAGGGTCCGTTAGCAGGGAGCAGAATCCATCAGAACCACCCGGGCTCAAGGCAGAACCGGAGAACCGGACCCAGAACTCGGCACCAAACGGAGGTTTGATCTATGAAGAACATCTGATGGACCTTCAGGTTCTGAGACCTGAACCTGAGGAGACCAGAAAGATGGAGGAACGACCCGGTTCTGCTGCAACTAGAGAACCAGAACCTCAGGAAGTTCTGATTCTGTCTCACCTGGAAGCAGAACCCGGTGGCCCCGTCCAGAACAGACTGGTGCCCGGATCAGGGCCGGTTCTGCTGAAGGCGGCCATGATGACCCAGGTTCACCTCAGCCCAGCGACCCGGTTCAGATGTGTCCAGCTGGACCGGGTCAGAACCCTCAGGATGGAGGTTTAACTGGATGAAGGAAGCAGCCGTGGTTCTGGTTCTGGTTCCCAGGACCATCATGAGCCACAGGGAGAAGAAGAACACCAAACAGAGCGGATCAGAACCGACCCAGAAAGACGCTGAAGGTTGGAGCCTGCAGACGGAACCAGAACCTAAGATCCGAACGGTTCTGGTTCTGATGGTTCAATCGGAGCATTTCATTAAAGACAAACTGAAACCATCAGAATAAATTCTCTCCTGGTTTTAGTTCGATCCGTTAAACCAGAACCTTCAGAAACTGGACCTTCCCTCTGAGGCGATGACTTCTAGGTGGCATATTTCTGGGTTTTATGGATCTTTGAGGACATTTCTGCCAGAAAACAGAAAATCTCCGGAATCAGAACCGGAAGCAGCTGTTAGAAGATTCTGACCCCCCCCCCTCATAGAACAGGTGCCTAAAAACAAACACGTCATCATCATACCTGAGAACAGATGGTGGGCGCGCATGCGCATCAGACTCCCTGTCCGGACGTGTGCACGCGGCCATGCCTCCTCTGTCATGCAACCATGAGACCACGTGACGTTTCATTCAAGCCCGGCTGCTCGTAGTAGGATGCTCGTGCACGGCTTTAAAACGTGCACGTGCAGAGAGAAAGAAGCGAGAGAAGAATGAAGCGCGCGCGCGCTCTGCTGATCGATTATCGATCCTGATCAACAGACAATGGAGCGTGCACGCGCATTCAGTTCAGGAATCGGACACTGGACGCACGTGCGCGCGCGCTGACCTGAGCGGACACAGAAACTCTGTGGTTCCCCTGAAACCTAAATCCACTCGGGACCGTGGGAACCTGAAGCTCCAGTCAGACCAACAGAACCTCCTCCATGCTCCTCCATGCTCCTCCATGCTCCTCCATGCTCTTCCATGCTCCTCCATGCTCCTGCAGCGGAGCGGCTCTCAGCCTCACCTGCACACTCTCCGCCCTGCAGCAGCAGCAGCAGCACCACCAGCCTCATCTTCTGCTCCTCAGGTGGAGGCAGCGCTCTCTGCTGCTCCTCCTGCTCCTCTCCGGTTGTCCTCCTGGTCCTCCTCCAACATTTAAGGAGCTGCCTGGACCCCCAGCCTCCAGAGCAGTAAAGCTGTCCCTGCTCCTCAGTCCGCTGCTCCTCTCTGCGCCTCCTGGCAGGGTCTGCTGGGGACATGCAGGAGGAGCGGAGTCAAGCTGCACCGTCCTCCTCAGGGACTCCAGCTTCCTGTTTCAAAATAAAAGCCAGAGAGTCAGAGCTGCGCTCTGCTGGGATCTACTGAGGGGTGAAGGTCAGAAACAGATGGAGGAGGGGGGAGGGGCTGCACCCCAGCTGAACAACAATAAACAGATTTATCTTCTGAAGGAGGTTTATCTGCATATTTCATCTTTTAGTTTCTATTAAAGCAGGATTCTCTGCCAAGTTTAGTTATTTTATAATGACCAGAAAGTAGCGAGGAGGAGGG